TATGTCCCGATCTCGCATTTTAAACGGAATCTTAAACTTAAAACATCGGTCAACTGAAAGACATACACATAAAAAAGACTACGTGTATATATTTGCCTTATTTATATACTTATCTATAAAGATGAAGTATGCATGCATAAAAATACAAAAGAATATACTGATTAAATGAACATTGCCATGAAACGATGCCAAACTCGCAATAAATTGCAATTAAGTTTAATTCTTGGCGATTCTGAGCTGTTGACCCTGTACCAGTCTGAGTTAGGCTTAGCAAAAGTATAAAGACGCTTGCCGTAGAACAAAGTAATTTATTCGCCCTTAAATCTACGAGTTAATTTTCTTGTTAATTTTTTTTTCGGTTACCTTAAACCGTACATATATATCATATATATCATGTTATCATATATTCTATGCCTATATAAATGTACATTTTTTTTACAATATCTTTGAATGACATATATAAACATATAGAGAATTTATGTATTTGAGTACGGTTTTCTCTGAAGAAGTGTGTATCAATGAAAAATATTTTTAGTGCTTCTGTTTATTTAACCTATTTTTGTTCGACTTCGGTTATTCTCGCTTTGTCTTCACAAAGCATAAAAAATTTAATGGACTTGGACGAAAACCAGAAGACATTGGCTGTCACTTGGAACAGAAAAATGTATAAGGAAAAAAATTCTAAAGAATAAACAATTATTTGCACCGACCCAACTTCAAGCCCTACCATCCCAACCAACAAGAAGCAACCATCTCTACAATACCACAGCATCTTCTTTTTAGGGTTTGAAACAAAGTAAAAGAGACAGATGCAAAATAATCATTTTAAAATTCAAATGATTCGTACAAGCAGTTGCACAATTTGGGTGCTGAAAAGTTCTCGGCCCAACTTAGAAATACTTCAGAAAGAAAGATATCATTATATTTGGAGGAGTGGTTTGGGACAAAAATTTTCAGTACTTCTATGTATTGTCCTTGTTGTCATCTTTCTCGTTGCTTCTTCTTTTCTTTCACATGACCGAGTATTGTTTCGCTTTTTTCCTTGAAATAAAAGCGAATTTGTGCGTGTGTAATAGGCACTCACACACACACACACACACACACACATATATATATATATATATATATATATATATATATATATATATATATATATATATATATGAGTGGACACTGAGGTCAGCACAGTGTGGTGCAATCTTCAGGCCATCAGATGTCAAGAATGAAACAGACTCTTGTGACTCTGTGCTGAACTCCTTGTTTACTCTTATGTAAACACACACTCTATCTCTGATATTTACAAATATAGCAAACTTTAAAACATATTTTTATTATACACACACAGAGACACAGACACCCAGAAACATACACACACACACATACATATATATATATATATATATATATATATATATATATATATATATATATATACTACTGACAAAGAGTTTCGTACAAGCTGCATTTCTTTAACAAGAAAATTAAACTGAGATATTTTTGTATATTTTAAGTAAAAGATAAAACTTCAGTGTATTTGATTTTGCTTTTCAGTCTTTCTCCAGGCTCTTTTTAGTAAGAAATTGTTCAGATTTGGAGTTATCTGTTCACAATACATTTTTCGAACTTATGACTATTTTATATGAGAAACATTTTCACCATTAACCCTTCAGCAGATTTTGTGAGATTACCAAATTTTTCAGCTCAGTTAAATGTTAATCTTGTTATGCGATGTTTCCCTTCAGAACGTTCGCTATCATGGCTCTCCACAATTTCCTGACTTTTGTAGCCCTTAATAAATTTTGTCTTTTTATTATTTCTCCAAAACTTTGTTCTGACATTTACCCAAGCACACTAAGTAGGCCATGTGTTGTTTTCCGTCTGTCTCTCTTGCCTTCATTCTGTCCTGTGAGTATTCTAAGCCTTCTTTCCTCATTATGTTTACTAGAAATTTCAGCTATCTCTACCTCATGTTAATTGTAAGTTTCCTTTTTGTTTCCATTTCTCTAAAAACTTTACCGTTCCTTACATGTTCGGTATATATCCTCAGCATCATTCTGTGAAATCACATTTCTGTTGTTTCAAGTCATTTCTTCATCTCTGAAGACTTTGTCTATCATTCACTGCCTTATAGGAGGACTGATATTACATAGCAGTTCAGTACACTTTTCTTTGACAAGTTCTAGCTTAGCACTGACTAATATTGTAAACAAACATATGTAGCTGTCTCTGTTTGAAGATTTTTTTTTAATTTTGAAGTAACTTGCACAAAATGTCAAAATCAATTCAGCCAAGCATTGAGGTGAGGGCACAAATTGAAATTTTATTCAAAGAAAGATTCTCTCAAATACATTACCAAGTTGAAGATTGTGATATGGTGTATAATGTTCTTTACTAAAGCAGTTAAAAACTGGCGCAAACATTGAGATAAAAACAACTGTCGCTGAATATAAACACTTTATTATTGGGAGCAAAAGAAAAGAAGGAAAACTGCCCCAGAATTCAAAACTGAACTTAATTTCTCTCGACAGCAATCAATGACGCTCTCAACTGTTAAAAATAGATTTAAATCATTGAGGCTCAAGGGTTGCATAGCCATCAAGAAACCCCTGTTATGGAAGGTGAATAAACATGAAATAAACAGTTATGGACAAAAAAGCATAAGAACTGGACATTGAAAGAGTGGCAAAATATATTGTGGACAGATGAGTCCAAATTTGAACATTTTGGTAGTAAAGGGAAAGTATATCTGAGAAGAAAGCCAAGAGAAAGATTGAATGATGAATGAGTGGTTCCAACAGTAAAGCATAATAATGGTGGGTATGTTATATTGTGGACGAGAGAGAGCTAGAGTTTGATTCAGGTTAGGGAATTTATGAAGACATACTATACCATCTAGTTTACGCATAATTGGGAAAAAAATCATCTTTTAACAAGACCACAATCGGAAAATCTCTTCTAAATTATGTCAAAATTACCTCGAGTCAAAAAAGGATTAGGGAGACATCTCAACACGGGCGTCCAAGGCCATATGGAGCGAACTCCCCCCTCATCGAACATCACGATCAAACCGTCGTGAACGCTCCCCGCCCCCACGACAACTAACACCCGATGTAATGCCTTTCTCGACAAAGGCCGGATATTAAAGAACTTTCAATGCATGATGACATTCACTAAAGAAGACGCAATCGTGTTGGTGCGAACGCCGCAGACGAGTGCATGCTTCTCAAAGACGGGAAAGCTGTTTTGGCATCTTCCTTCCAGAAGTTGCCATTCTCGTCATCTTGCATACACATCCCAACTAGGTAATGCAATCGCAAAGTTTCTCAACAGGTCTCTATGTCCGGCATCCCAAGACCGCCCTCGAACAGATGGAGGTAGCAGACCCCGCGAAGCACCATATGAGCTTTGTAAGAAGCACAGCTTTCACTAGATCATCTAGGTAGGCGGTTAATTTTAGTCCCTTTGACCGTCTTATAGGTCCAGATTTCTCTTCTGACTTTGCCAAACTCGGCAGGTCATCGCAGAAATAGAGATAGATAACGTATGCATGTGTGCATCCGTGTGCATATCTTATCATCCATGTATATATTTATGCTTGCCTGCAACAATTTAATGCACATTTCGCTTTAAAATGCACCCATTTCATCCACCATTATTTCTTCTCGTTTTCTCACTCTCCTTCTCATTTTTACACAGTCTCACTCTCTCTCTCACTCACTCCCTCTCATACACGAGCACACACGTAGATTCTTTTACTAGTTCTTATTTTATTGCACAAAGTAGATATTTGTAGGATAAAGTAAATTTGATCTCAAAATCAAATACAACAGCGACCATCCCACTGATAATGTTTTATATCAACTCGTTAAATATCTATATCAAATGCTCTATTGATAAATCTATGGAAATATATATATACGAACTGATGAAAAGCGATAACAGATAAATGTTCTTTTTGTGTGTTTTTGCGTTAATTCCTTTAATGTCCCATAATACCTGCAGTATGTGAAGCTGTGAATAATTCTATTTATAAATTGATTCGATATAGCTTTTGATTTTGTCGACTCCATCGAAACAGTTTTCAAATTTAGAACCGCATAATCAATTGAGACTGAAGCGTAAAACTCTACTACTGTAACACTATTTTGACACTGATAGTATGAAATTAGGATAGCAAGGGTTCATATGAAAAGACCGTATAGGAAATGGAGAATTAGAAGTGTTAAAAATGTTAAAAAACGTTAAGGTGGCAATACGAATTGAAATATGGAAAAAAGGAAAAAAAAGAGTTTTTACCTTTCTGATAACCAGAAACGCCGAATGGAATGTTGATTTCAAAATATGGTTTGAGAAATGTAAAATATAAATTGAAAAGCAACTGGAATTGTTATGATTTGTAAAGCCGATAATGTAAACAATCTAAAGTATGATCTGTGAAGCATGAAAGGTAAAACGTAATTGCCAGCCGAAAAACGAATTGAGTTGTTATAAATCACAAAGCCAGTAACGAAAATAATCTGGAGTGTAGTTTTGTAAAATGGGTAGAAAATTATTTGGGTCGTATAGGTAAATCATAAAAGGGAAATCGACAACAAAGGAAATTCTTTGACGTTAAGGACATAGGAAAATTTTATAAACAGATGTTGTTGAAAAATTAGTTTTGGATAAGTGACCGATCGCAGACCGATTGTCATCAGAACATAGAATGGAAAGATAAACAAAGTTTATTGTTGAAGAATGTATTTTTTTTTAAATAACTGACCACTTTGTTTGAATATTAGTATCGGTTCTCCAAAATTGGATAGATAAAATTATTAATTGAAATGAATATTAATGAGTCTTGAGGTGCGATAGGAGTCGGATGAAATACATATAAATAGAGCGCGTAAGCGGCCCAGCAGTTGGAGCAAGAGAATGAGAGAGACGCAGAGGAGACAAGACAGTAGCGGACGAATGAGCTGCTGAACTCCACGTGACCTGCTACCTAGAGAATTTCCAACCGACCATTTTTCTTTATTGATTTAGCTCGTTCCACTGCTCTGTGTTCAACGTGGGACATAAGCAGAAGAAGGAACGAAGCGGAAAGCAGTTGACCGGCGACAATACTGTCCAACTTAGCAATAGCCAAGGATTGAACCGGGCCAGCCGAGTTATACTACAACCACATAGTAAAACGTAACTACTAATATATACTGTCAACATGACTCAATAACTCATACTTCATTCGAGCAAACTAAAGTAGATAGTTCTAAAATTGTCAAATCCTGTTATTTTAAATAGTGAATCAATTATAGTGGCTTCAATAATATTTCCGCTTTAAGTCTGTCAAATCCAGACTGCTTTAGGTCAATAACGTAAAATTTCTGTAAAGCTACCGTATTTTTTACTTTTATCATTACGCATTTTGATTCCCAAACTAATCTACGTTTTACACCACAAAAGCCATGGCTCGTGCATTGTTTTCATACACCTCCTTCTTCAAAATGCCACTGCAGGCAACCCCAAAATCAAACACAGAATTCACATAAGGAGAAACATTATCTTGACAGTTGTCATTTCTCTTCACATTGTTTTGGCATTATGCCATAAACTGAAAACGATTTTAACATTTAAACACAAATATATTAATCTTTAAACCAACCAATTTTTTCGCCATGGCAAACTTAGGTATATTTCTTAGGTTCTAGTGCTGGATTGTCAAACAGGGATCACACAAGACAATTTATCATTGAACAGAAGGAAAACTTTAACATTCTGAGAGGCTGGATGAAATCAAATGTTGATCGGGCCGAATATTTTTCTGCAAGTTTCATATCAAGCTCCAAATTGAAAAATGGAAATCAGATTTTCTTTTAAAATACATTCTGTTCTTAGATTTTGTCAAGGAAATACTTTGCAGAAGCCAAACTGACCCAAATTGTGTTAACGGAAAAGCTTCTCATTGCTTCCTGTTCCGTCTGGTATTTTGCCAGAACTAATAATGAGGCATTCGTTATCATAATTTAGAGCCTATTGCCTATTTCAAATATGCCAGCCCCACCATCCGCTAAAATAGGGAGCATAAAACTCAGTTAAGAATGGCTGCTCTAACCGATATATTAATGAGATGACAGATCTAATAGGTTTCAAAAGACAAAGTGTAAATCCATATGAACAGATATGATTTGATTTTTTCTACGACTTATCAACCCTTTGCGGGTTCTTTAAAGCAAGAAAATATTTTTTAGACTGTAAAAATATTTTTTTGAAATAATAATGATTTAGTGATACAAATCATACTAATTAAGCCATATCTGAGAGAGTAGAGGTAGATTCCTATCTTTTCCAATGGTATTTGTGCGTAAGTGAATATAATGAACCCAACGGGCATTGGAACTCGGTTCTCCGATTAACAATTCCGAGCCGCTATTCATTGTACTACCCACACATCCAAGCTCACAGAACCCGGTATTTCCAAGCGATCACCCATCTAGGTACTGACCAGGTTTGACTTCAGTGATCGTACGGAAACTGGTGTTTTAACGTGATGTGGCCGTAAGCATAGATAGATAGATAGATAGATAGATAGATAGATAGATAGATAGATACTATATAATATTGTAAGTACTAGAGAATGGTAAGATTTCCTACGGATGAATGGAACCCCTTGTTTCCCGTACCATTTCTGCCACCAAGTACTCTGAATAAAGAATAATGAAAAAGAAAGATTTTATTTGTACAGAGTAAGATATATTTATTAGGTGTTTAATCTTAGAAACACATAAATACGCTGGTGGAGTGGAAGATTATGTAGCAACAATTTATTGTGTTCTCGAAGAACGCTTAGCTTGAAAACCCAAGATTCGAATACAATCGGTGACAGCACAAACTTCAATTACATATCCTTCCGAAGATATTAGATATGAATAAAAATTGCCAACGCAAAAAAATGGATTTCAACTATGTATTCAGTCACGATCTTTACCAAAAGAGTGTTCGGAACTTCTGTACATATCTAATATTTACTAAATATAATTTGGCATGAGGCCACGACAATGGAGAACCTTTGAGGATATCTCTATTATAGATTTGTCTAATGATATAAATGCACTGAGATAGAACCTCCAAGTAGGTAGAAAGAGGTGGTGATTAAATTATTGAAAGTGACGTCGATAACAGATATGGACAGACTCAGATATAAAGGCATATTGTTAGGAATGGAGTGAAAATAGCAGATAAAGATCGATATATAAAAGTGACATTGATTGCTTGCAGCAAATATTGTTAGGTACATAACTTCAATGCCAGCACGTGTCACATTGCAAATTCTTCTCCAAAATGTCGTTTAAACCCATTTTCACTAATTTCGTTAACTTCTAAGTATTTCCTGAAGTGCATACAGCTGTCAGAAAAAAGCTTTTATATAAGAAACATTTATTTTATTTATAGATGTTTTTGATGAGGTGGAGATCATCCCAGCATCTCTTTGTATAATAGTGCAACAAAGATTTCAAGAATAGCTCGGCGGTGAATTGGAGACAATTTATATTACATTCAAAGAATATCGGGAATATTAATAATTTAAAAATATCAAAATAGTTTGTCTGAAACATACTTTCGACATTGATTAAATTTAGGGTATAAATTATTTTTAACTTGTCACCTATAAAGTGTCCTTGAACGTAGATACATAAGCACATCAGATTAAGTGGTTTTTAAAAAGAATATAGAACAGCTAATTATTCAGTCCAGGTAATGTGTGAAGTCTATTCACACTGCAATTTAGGAATGAAAATCACTAGAGTAACATTTAACGCTTAAAATGAAAAGTTGATGATTCACCAAAGAATTTTCAATTTTTGATCTGAAATGTATTACAGTCGACTATAATATCCAATATATGCGGGGTTCATGCATAATGTAAATGAATTGCTAATGATTTTACAATAGAAATACATTAAAATCAAGAAGGAAAATATTGCCTGTGATCATAAATTAATGCAAACGATAATAGGATAGAGCTATATATATATATATATATATATATATATATATATATATATATATATATATATATATATATATATATATATCCCAGGCAATATTTTTTTCTTAATTTTTAATGTATTTCTATTGTAAAATCAATAGCAATACATTTACATTATATATATATATATATATATATATATATATATATATATATATATATATATATATATATGAGTTAAAGTGCTCAGTATCGGGGCTATCGCGCAATGCAACCGTCAGTCCTGACGACTGAAGCACTTCAATGTCCACTAATATTCATGTGTGTGTGTGTGTGTGTGTGTGTGTGTGTGTGTATGTGTGTGTGTGTGTGTGTGTGTAATGTAAATGCATTGCTAAATATTTACTCTTGAAACTTATTGAAAATAAAGAAGAACGAAATGTTCAGTGATCAGGACTCAATAGAAGCATTTTGGTTTGCTAAGCCTAAATAGTTTTACAATTGATTAAATTTGTTTTCTCTAATTACTCTTTTGATGAGCTTGTTTTTTAAGAATTATTTGCCAGTTAGAATGAAGTTTTAAATCGTTCCTTTTCATCTTCTGATTTCGAAAAGTAGTCAACACGACATTGACATATGTGGATAACTAAATATAAACACCGAAGAAATGTTTGGTAAAACATTGACTAAATCATAAGGAATTATTACTGTGTGTAAAAGACACATGTTAAGCTATCAACTAGCAGTTCAACGCATATGGATTCAGTTGTTGCAAATTAAATGAATTATTTGAGATTTATACTCCAAATAATGATATTATTTTGTAATATTATATGTTATTAGACAATTCAACTGTCGATTGTAGATAAGTGCATCCAGAAAAGAGAGAGAAAAATATATAGATAAAATTGTACTTAGTAAATCGTATAACTATGCTATTTATCAAATTCATATAAGAGACTTTAAATGAATAAAGTTGTTTCGCCGCAGATTTAGACAAAAAAGGTAAAATGATGAAAATAAAATCATAAGATTCCGTAGATATTCCAATCGGCGCTCAAAGTGACGCGCTCAGCTTTATGGAAATAAAGCTGAACCATTCAAGAGTAAAAGGTTAACACGATAACATATCGACTGTAAAAATATAATCTCAATAATCTCGTCTCAACTGACATCACGTGACTTCCGAAATACTATAGCACAATAAAGTACTTAACTACACGGCAATGAGAAAATAGTGGTTCTCCGATATCCTAGTTAACATGTTGAAAAGTAAGTGAACTTCTAAGATAATATTTAAAAAATGACCTGATTTTTCCAGATGATCAACAAATTTTAATTTGACTACATATTCATTAAGAAAAACCTTTATTAATCAATTACAATCACTTTCAACGATATTTGTCAAACTGGAATAAATATATTAATTAAAAATGAAAAATTAAGATGTACAAAGGTAAGGAAACACTTACATTTAAACTCTGTATTTTAGTGTTACATGGATGCCAGTGCAAATAATTGTTGTGTGCGAATGTAAAAATCAAACTGAGAGGTGTTCATTTGTTTGGTAAAATGTGTATAATGCAGTCAAAAAATATAACTCATTGTGTGTACAAATGTGTGCAGTTAGAAACTAAATTTTTAAAAATATATATGTAAAGATCAAAAGAACTTCCTGAAGATTTAAACATTCGCATGGTTTGAACGTATAAGGATACAGATGTTGACAAAAGCTATCAAAAGGATTTGGAGAGCACTTTTCTACAGTGCAACGAATTATTTAGAAATGGACGGCCTTAATATGACGGCATCACAATCAAGAAGTAGCTGTCCGCAAAAAACTAACACAAATAACAAGTAGCCGCCTACTTCGTCAAGGCCAGTCAAAGCTTGCTGGAAAATTGGCAGTTCTCCAATGCTTACTGGCCAATGTCGCAATTAATGTGCATACATCTACAGTGCGATGAAATCTGAACCATGCGGCTAATAATGGGAGAATGTCTAGAATAAGGCCACTGCACAAGAAATAGCACAAGCATGATCGCAGCAACTAGGCCAAAGATTATAATAAGAAGCTAGATTGATTCTGTCAAAAGGTCTTCTTCGCAAAATATAACACCAAAATCAAGTAGAGACCTACTTTGTCAAGGCAAGGCAAATCTTACTATAAAATAAATAACACCAAGAACAAGTAGACACCTACTTCGTAAAGGCCAGGTATACCTTTCTGTAAATTAGCACAAGCATAAACAACTAAACTAGGCCAAAGCCTATAAAAATAAGCTAGATTTATTCTGGCAAATGGTATTTGTTCGCAAAAAATAACAGCAAGAGAATGTAGACATCTATTCGTCAACACAAGGGAAGACTTTCTGTAACTTTTGTGGTTCTCCCAATGCTCATTGGCAAATGAAACAATTAATGTGCATACATCTAGAGTACGATGAAATCTGAATAATGCCGAACCTCAATGCAGAATGTCTAGAATAAGGCCAAGGCTGAAGAAATAGAACAAGCATGATCGCCGCAACTAGGACAAAGCATATAATAATAAGCTAGATTAATTCTGGCAAAAGGTTTTTGTTCGCCAAAAATAACACCAAGAACAAGTAGACACCTACTTCGTAAAGGCCAGGTATATCTTTCTGTAAATTTTGCGGTTCTTCAAAGCACACTGGCCAATGTCGAAATTAATGTGCATACATCTACAGTGCGATGAAATCTGAACATTGCCGATTATCATGGCAGAATGTCTAGAATAAGGCCACTGCTTAAGACATAGCACAGGCTTCATCGCCTCAACTATGCGAAAGTTTATAATAATCAGCTAGTTTTATTCTGGCAATTGATCTTGGTCCGCAGAAAATAACACCAAGAGCAAGTAGACATCTACTTCGTCAAGGCCAGGCACAACTTACTGTAACGTTAGCATTTCTACAATGCTCAGTGACCAATAATTAATAGCACAAGCATGATCGCAGCAACTAGGCCAAAGCCTATAAGAAGCTAGATTAATTCTGGCAAAAGGTCTTTGTTAGCACAAAATAACACCAATAGCAAATAGACAGCTACTTCGTCAAATCCAGGCAAAACTTACTGTAACTTTTGCGGTTATCCAATGGTCACTGGCAAAAATCGCAATTATTGTGCATACATCTGCAGTGCGATGAAATCTAAATACTCACGATCATCATAGCAGTATGTCTAGAATTAAGCCATTGCTTAAGAATTATTACAAGCGTGATAGCCTCAACTAGACCAAAGCTTATAATAATAAGCTAGAATTATTCTGGCAAAAGGTCTTATTTCGCCAAAAATAACACCAAGAGCAAGTAGAGACGTACTTCATCAAGGCAAGGCAAATCTTACTATAATTTTTGTAATTCTCCAATGCTCACTAGCCAATGTAGCAATTAATGTGCATAAAACGACACCAAGAGCAAGTAGACACCTACTTCGTCAAGGCCAGGCACAACTTACTGTAACTTTTGCAGTTCTCCAATGCTCACTGAACAATGTCGCAATTAATATACATACATCTACAGTGCGATGAAATATCAACAATGCCGATCGTCATGGTAGAATGTCTAGAATAAGGCCACAGCTTAAGAAATAGCACAAGCATGATCGACTCAACTAGGCCAAAGTTTATAATAATAAGTGGAAACTTTCTGGCAAAATGTATTATGACCAAATGAGAGGAAACTAGATCTTTTTTGAAGGAACAACAGTTGGTATATCTGGTGAGCTCCTAATATGGCTTTTAAAGAGAAGAATTTGATTTCAACCATTAAATAGGTGGTGACAGCATTATGAATTGTTGTTGCTTTTCTGCAGTGGTTGTAATTTATTTCATAAATATTTTTCTTAAAAAATAGTTCAATTAAGATTTATTGACTATCTGGTAAATGAGACAGTTATTTAAATATAATCTGAGTGGTTCACTTACTTTTCCACAGCACTGTAAATTTCGATAGATTTTTCTTAAATATTCCAACCAAATATTAACGTTCTGTTGTTTGCTACAATAAAAATGTACTGTTCATACAAACAATTATATAAATACGATAGCTCATATGATAGAGTGCTTGAAAGTACTTGGGCTAACCAATTTCTAAAGTTCATTATTTCTATAACCAAACATTCGACTCCAGATATTTAAAAATGGGTCAGGTATTAAAAGTGCTCTTGAATATCTATCTATCTATCTATCTATCTAT